CACGGGTGTGCGGGACTGCCTCCTTTCCTGGGTGCACACAGCGCTTGTGTCGGGTCTGGGATAGGCCGTACCATCGCCTGCCTGACTGAGAAGTACTGGTGGCCCACCTTGGCTAGGGACGTACGGGTTTGTGTCCGTACGGGTTTGTGTCTCTTTCTGCTCCATCTGTGCTCAGTCTAAGACACCCAGACGCCTCCCTTATGGAAAGCTCCTTCCCCTGCCAGTTTCACAACGACCCTGGTCTCACCTCTCGGTGGACTTTGTCACTGACCTTCCCCCCTCCCAGGGGAACAACACCGTTCTCGTCGTTGTGGACCGGTTTTCCAAAGCTTGTCGCCTTCTTCCTCTGCCTGGGCTCCCGTCGGCCATGCAAACCGCGGAGGCTCTTTTTACGCACATCTTCCGGCACTACGGGATCCCGGAGGACATTGTGTCAGACCGTGGTCCTCAGTTCACCTCACGCATATGGAAAGCGTTCATGGAACGCCTGGGGGTCACGGTCAGTCTCACCTCTGGATACCGTCCTCAAGCTAATGGGCAGGTGGAGAGGGTCAATCAGGAAGTGGGCAGGTTCCTGAGGTGTTACTGTCAGGACTGGCCGGGGGAGTGGGCGTATTTTCTACCTTGGGCTGAGTATGCACAGAATTCCCTCAGCCACTCCTCCACTAACCTCACTCCTTTCCATTGCATGTTGGGGTATCAGCTGGCCCTGGCACCTTGGCATCCGAGCCAGACTGAGGCCCCTGCGGTGGATGAGTGTTTTCGGAGCGCTGAGGAGATCTGGAACGCTGCGCACACTCGTCTCCAGCGGGCCGTGAGTCGGCACAAGGAACAGGCCAACCTCCATTGCAGTGAGGCGCCTGTTTTCTCTCCAGGCGACCGGGTCTTGCTCTCCACCCGGAACCTGTCCCTCCGCTTGCCCTGCCAGAAGCTGAGGCTGCAGTTTGTGAGGCCGTTTAAAGTCCTGACGAGGGTTAATGAGGTAACATACCGTTTGCAACTCCCTGCTGATTACCGCATTAACCCGACTTTTCATGTGTCTCTCCTCAGGCCAGTGGTGCCTGGTCCCCTCGCTGAGGCTGGACCCAGTGACGGCCCGACCTCCTCCTCTGGACATCGAGGGAGGTCCGGCGTACTCAGTCCATGAAGTCCTGGATTCGAGGCGTCGGGCGTCTCCAGTACCTCATCAACTGGGAGGGGTACGGCCCAGAGGAGCGGTGCTGGGTTCCTGCGGTGGACATCCTGGATGCTTCACTTACCAGGGATTTTCACCGTCGGCGCACTGACCGCACCGCTTTCCTGTGGTCGTCCCCGAGGCCGGTGTTGTCCCGCTGCGTTTGGGGGGGGGGGGGGTACTGTCACGGATCCCCCCTGTACTGCTGCTCATTCCGTTCACCAGAGGTCTACGTCACCGGCCTTCTAGGCGTCACTGACCTGGTTCATTACCACCAACCCCGGACTGTCTTGTCTCATTACACACACCTGGTTCCCATTCCCCCTGATTCGTATGTGTATATATGTGCCCTCTGTTCCCCATTGTCCTTGTCGTTTATTGTCCCATGTCCGTTGGTCTCGTGAGTACCGTGTATTGTGCTCTTGTTATTAGGGGTCTCGTCCCGTGTATTGTGTAGAGGTTACACCTCGCTCTTTTGTTTGGGTTACATCCCTTTGTTATATACTGTGTGTTGGGTGGAGTAAATAAAACTCCTAATACATATTCCTGCGCCTGTCTTCTAATCATTATACAACGTGAGTATATTGGTATATGTAATTCCCAAACATTCTAAGAATTTATGAAAATTACCATATCTAAGTGGTCGCTATATGAACAGATTTTAATAAGATTGCATGTTGCTAAAATGCTGTCAGTTCCACTTTAAATGCAACAACGTTTCACACACACAAATTATTAACAGCAAGCGCGCTGCAATAAAAAACACAGTTCCACTCACCAGATGATGATAATTTGAAACTCAAGTTATTCTTGAAAAGGGAAAAGCTAACAAATTATCAACAACATCCTCTTTGATAACACATGCTGCAGCTGCTGCAAACTAGCCGACAACAAAAGCTAGCTAGCTAGACCGTGGGAAAACTACTGCTCACTATTGCGCAGTGACCTGTTGGCCTTCAAGAAGGCACACGTTTCCATATGTTTTTGTAAAAACGGTTCCACTCACTAAGTCAAAAATGTGATTGGTTGATTCCACCGTCACTCTAAAATTTTGCCTCAATACAGTGGAATGGCATATTCCTTTATCTAGCTTCTGATGGCCTAGCTAGCCAATGGCTGACTTAGCTAGCTAGATTTATCTCCCCAGAGACCAGCAATGAAAAATCCTGATTGGATCTTTTTTTCTCTTCGGTGTTAACCCTTTCCTTTCCAACAAAAATTGAAGAGATTAAATTAGAACATAATTGAAAATAATAATATAATTATTATTATTATAATCATTATTTAATGAATCCTTAGCCCTTTGAAGGCCAATTGTCCCCCACTGTGTTTGGGTTAGTAATAATTTGTAGAGTGGCTCTATTTTCCCTCAGCATGCATTTTTTCCCTATTCTGAATGTCTAAGGAATCCATATGTTGTTCTGAAATATGAACACAGAAATACTGTGAACTCTTATTATAGTGGTGATCTGACAAAATTACAATCATGGTCTTCCCCTGTAGCTCAGCGCTTGCAACGCCAGGGTTGTGGGTTCGTTTCGCACGGGGGGCCAGTATGAAAATGTATGCACTCACTAACTGTAAGTCGCTCTGGATAAGAACGTCTGCTAAATGACTCAATTAAAAAAAAAAAAATTTTGAATTGGACTTGCATTTTTCTGGTCTCGGTCTTGACTCGGTCTCGGACCCCTTGTCCCCCTCTCGGTCTCAGTCTTGACTCAGTCTCGCCCCGCCTCCGGTCTTGGTCTTGACTAGAACTCGATTTGCGCCGGTCTTGGTCTTGAATGGTCTCACTTTAGGTGGTCTCAAACACAACACTGCCCCCTCCCCCACCCTTCTACCCATTCATCCAATTTCTCTTCAATTCACACCCATTTATCTTCATCATAAATTGAATCTATTCTACATTCATCACTACAGTCTCCTCAAGTGACAGCTGTTGAGCCTTTCTACAGTGAGGTGAGTTTGCACAATATCTGTACCATCCCTTGGCTTGCACACATTGATATCAGCGCATAATGATATGCATACATATCCAAATGTAACACACACACTCTTTAATAGATCAATCAGACATGTGTGCTCAGATATGCATTCAATATTATAATAATCTCTGCTCAGACTACTCACTGCTTTTTATGCTTACACACATGGACACACAGTACACAGAACAAATAGGCTACCCCACAGGCATACTGTATATAAGCACTGTGTGTATGCTCAATTGTTAGTCATACAAATGAAATAATTTTGAGACTATTCACAAAATAATGCGTCTGACTTGTCATGGCTGAGTAAATGTCAAGCTTAGTCAGATGTTCCAACAAAATATTTTTTAGGGAGAACGTATTTTCTTTATGAAGATCTTTTTTTAAAAGCCCTGACAAAGCTGAATAAACTAAAGTGATACTGGCAAGAGCAGTGTGCGTGTTTCTATTCCATTTATGAAGATCTAAAAATATTCAACTCCAATCCAGATCTCTGGATATTTTCTTCCCTGGCATACTCCATCCCCCCCTTCAGCAAATCATGTCAGTCTGAACACCAGGATCCAAAACTCAGATAGAGATAGAGGGGATAGAGGAGAGGAGATATATAGGTTACATTGTTTGGGATGGGGAGCAATTTCTGAGTTGGCCCATTTCGTGTCTGTGTAGTCATGTTTATCTGCCAGGAGTTTCACTTCTCAAGCAGCTGTAGTAGAGAAGCTGACCAGACACACTGGGATGGCAACAAAACAGAATTCAGACAGCAAGGGATAGCAGCGGGGAGATGGAGAGCTAAAGATAGAGGAGACAGGAAGACACAAGTACAAGATGGGCAAAGGAGGAGAGAAAGTACAGCAGCAGATTCTTATTTTTGTGTCTTTTTCCCCTCCCTGTCTACAACCTCGCTCTTCCTCCGTGTGTGAATGTGTTTTGACACTATTCCTCTGCCTCCATGTCGGTGAGCTTTGAGACAGATTGTCTCTCACCTGAAATTAAACACAAGGCCAGGTGCCACTCAGATCAGACCATCTGTTCATCCCGCCCGCCTTTCACTTTCTTTTTCCTCTCCTTCTTACTTCTTTTCGGACGCAGCTTGTGTATTGTGAGGACAATTAAAAGCAGTAACATTTTCCACCATGGCAGGCAGTGTATAGCTCACTAGAGAGAGGGACGTTGAATATAAATGCACAGGGAGAGAGATAATGACATGCTTCAGCTTTCTGTATTCAGAAGCGCATTGGTGTATTTGTGTCTTTCAATTACTTTCATGTAATTTCTTTGTAGCATCCCTGACAAGAGGATGGTGAAGTTAATTATCTGGCAGTGCAGGTGCTATTAGATGACGATTACACCACAGCTGGTAGTTGGGGTGGGGGTACTACTTGTCTAGGGGGTTGGTAGTCAGTGTGTAGCTAATAACGTGGTTTTCATCATTGCGGGGGTTAGGATGGGGGACACGAGGGGGAGGTTGTTCTCGGACGGTTGTACAAGACTTGGGTGAGGAGGTCTGGGAGGGGAGTCACTGGGGAGACAGACGGGGAAGAGAAGGTTTAGCGACGGGGAACGTGCCTGCTGATCCCCTCTGAGACGTCAGGAAGGTCAGACTACTGTCAAGCTAATAACAGGATTTATATTGCTGCTAGTGCTAACTACTGCTCTGGCTCCCAGACGCCCCTACTAAAACCCATACTCCCTCACTGTCTCAGCTTACCAGTAAGCATTTCATTGTACTGAGTACACTACGCCATGTCCTGTGCATATTACAAATAAACGTTGATTTGGCCTACTACTATCTTCAAATGGGAATACTGGTAATAAAACCCAACAAAGAATTCAACTCAGTAAACCTTAATAAAAAGAAAAGGGAGATGAGAGGAAAATATTGAGAAGAGGCAGAGACTGAGTGAAGGAGGAAAGCAGGCTTGTCCAATAATAATTCCTAGCCGTGTTGCATTTAGCCCAAATGGTACCCCTAATTCCCTATATAGTACACTACTTTTGAATTAAACCCTATGAGCCCTGGTCAAAAGAAGTGCACTATATAGGGAATAGCATTTGGAACACAATACTAGTCTGTTTCTATAGAGACTGCCGAGAGAGAACGCCTGTCACGTCACATTCTGCTCCATAAATGTCACTTGGCAGCACACCTGCTAATTATGCTAATCAAGCTGCTCTAACTTTGATTAGAATGTGCGAGTCGAAAGAGGGGGCGAGAGAGAGAGAGGGCAAAGTGACTTCGGCATGCCCCTAAGCTGTCACTTACAACCAAAGACGTTGTAGGAGGATGTCTAAGGCTCTGACTGGATGTGTCATGTACAGGGAATATAGGAAAGCCACCTCTGACCTTCCTCTTGGGCACATCAACTCAAAGGGAAGTGGAGCTCACATGTCAGAGGGAGTTAGTTTTTCTGTGGCACACTGTTGTGTGTCTGTGTGTGTAGTTCAGTGAGGTAGAATGCCACTTGTTCTGCCTTTTGCTCATCGGAGTGGCCGAGTCCCATATGGGACCCGATTTTCCAATGTAGTACTAGTGCACTAATTTTGACCAGAGGCCATAAGGCTCTAGCCAATAGTGCACTACATGGGGAATAGGGTGCCATTTGGAACTCTGCCAGTGTATGCTGTTGAACGTCAGAGAGCGCACTCACCCCTGGTAGCGTCTTCTGCTCGTGCAGTGCATTCTGGGCCTTGAGGGCAGACTCTCGTTCGCAGTATGTCAGGAAGGCACAGCCTGGGGTAGGATTGAGGGTTCATTATACCATTCAACAAATGATGTATTAGTATACTGTGATACAACAGTGGACAAAGAGAAGTTGCAGCAGGTTGCATTGTAACTTTAAAGGAGAAGTTGTTGTTTTTCAACCAATTCTCTATTTTTGATGTAAATGGGATGTTATAGAAGGGTCCAGACACCTTTTTTGTGATTTCAAATTTTTTAGAAACTTACCCCAAACAGCAAATCACTTCCTCATCCTCGTTGTGTTTTATGGGGGCCCCGAAAAAACATGAACAAAGGCTCCAACAACACCCAAATACAGTGCCTTCAGAAAGTATTCACACCCCTTGACTTTTTCCACATTTTGTTGTGTTACAGCCTGAATTTAAAATAGATTACATTTAGATTTTTTTTGTCACTGGGCTACAGTCAATACCCCATAATGTCAAAGTGGAATTATGTTTTTACAAATTAATTCAAAATGAAAAGCTGAGATGTCTTGAGTCAATAAGTATTCAAACCCTTTGTTATGGCAATCCTAAATTTCAGGAGTAAAAATTTGCTTAACAATTCACAATAAGTTGCATGGACTCACTAATTGTATGTGTGCAATAATAGTGTTTAACATGATTTTCGATTGACTACGCCTTCTCTGTACCCCACACATACAATTATCTGTAAGGTCCCTGAGTCGAGCATTGAATTTCAAACACAGATTCAACCACAAAGACCAGGGAGGTTTTCCAATGCCTCGCAAAGAAGGGCACCTATTGGTAGATGGGTAAAAATGAAAAAAGAAGACATTGAATATCCCTTTGAGCATGGTGAAGTTATTAATTACACTTTGGATGGTGTATCAATACACCCAGTCACTACAAAGATACAGGCGTCCTTCCTAACTCAGTTTCAGGAGATAAGGAAACCGCTCAGGGATTTCACGAGGCCAATGGTGACTTTAGAACAGTTACAGAGTTTAATGGCTGTGATAGGAGAAAATTGAGAATGGATAAACAACATTATAGTTACTCCAATAGTTACTCCAATACTAACCTAAATGACAGAGTGAAAAGGATGAAGCCTGTACAGAATAACAAATATTCCAAAACATGCTTCCTGTTTGTAATAAGGCACTAAAATAAAACTGCAAAAAAATAAACTTTATGTCCTGAATACAAAGCATTACAGTATGTTTGGGGCAAATCCAACACAACACTAAGTACCACTCTTCATATTTTCAAGCATGGTGGGGGCTGCATCATGTTATGGGTATGATCGTCATCGGCAAAGACTACAGAGTTTTTTTAGGATAAAAATAAATGGAATAGAGCTAAGCACATGCAAAATCCGAGAAGAAAATCTGGTTCAGACACTAGGAGAAATATTCACCTTTCAGCAGGACAATAACCTAAAACACAAGGCCAAATACAGTGGGGAAAAAAAGTATTTAGTCAGCAACCAATTGTGCAAGTTCTCCCACTTAAAAAGATGAGAGGCCTGTAATTTTCATCATAGGTACACGTCAACTATGACAGACAAAATGAGAAAAAAAAATCCAGAAAATCACATTGTAGGATTTTTTAATGAATTTATTTGCAAATTATGGTGGAAAATAAGTATTTGGTCAATAACAAAAGTTTCTCAATACTTTGTTATATACCCTTTGTTGGCAATGACACAGGTCAAATGTTTTCTGTAAGTCTTCACAAGGTTTTCACACACTGTTGCTGGTATTTTGGCCCATTCCTCCATGCAGATCTCCTCTAGAGCAGTGATGTTTTGGGGCTGTCGCTGGGCAACACGGACTTTCAACTCCCTCCAAAGGTTTTCTATGGGGTTGAGATCTGGTGACTGGCTAGGCCACTCCAGGACCTTGAAATGCTTCTTACGAAGCCACTCCTTCGTTGCCCGGGTGGTGTGTTTGGGATCATTGTCATGCTGAAAGACCCAGCCACGTTTCATCTTCAATGCCCTTGCTAATGGAAGGAGGTTTTCACTCAAAATCTCACGATACATGGCCCCATTCATTCTTTCCTTTACACGGATCAGTCGTCCTGGTCCCTTTGCAGAAAAACAGCCCCAAAGCATGATGTTTCCACCCCCATGCTTCACAGTAGGTATGGTGTTCTTTGGATGCAACTCAGCATTCGTTGTCCTCCAAACACGACGAGTTGAGTTTTTACCAAAAAGTTATATTTTGGTTTCATCTGACCATATGACATTCTCCCAATCCTCTTCTGGATCATCCAAATGCACTCTAGCAAACTTCAGACGGGCCTGGACATGTACTGGCTTAAGCAGGGGGACACGTCTGGCACTGCAGGATTTGAGTCCCTGGCGGCGTAGTGTGTTACTGATGGTAGGCTTTGTTACTTTGGTCCCAGCTCTCTGCAGGTCATTCACTAGGTCCCCCTGTGTGGTTCTGGGATTTTTGCTCACCGTTCTTGTGATCATTTTGACCCCACGGGGTGAGATCTTGCGTGGAGCCCCAGATCGAGGGAGATTATCAGTGGTCTTTTATGTCTTCATTTTCCTAATAATTTCTCCCACAGTTGATTTCTTCAAACCAAGCTGCTTACCTATTGCAGATTCAGTCTTCCCAGCCTGGTGCAGGTCTACAATTTTGTTTCTGGTGTCCTTTGACAGCTCTTTGGTCTTGGCCATAGTGGAGTTTGGAGTGTGACTGTTTGAGGTTGTGGACAGGTGTCTTTTATACTGATAACAAGTTCAAACAGGTGCCATTAATACAGGTAACGAGTGGAGGACAGAGGAGCCTCTTAAAGAAGAAGTTACAGGTCTGTGAGAGCCAGAAATCTTGCTTGTTTGTAGGTGACCAAATACTTATTTTCCACCATAATTTGCAAATAAATTCATTAAAAATCCTACAATGTGATTTTCTGGGATTTTTTTTCTCAATTTGTCTGTCATAGTTGACGTGTACCTATGATGAAAATTACAGGCCTCTCTCATCTTTTTAAGTGGGAGAACTTGCACAATTGGTGGCTGACTAAATACTTATTTTCCCCACTGTATACACTGGAGTTGCTTACCAAGACTACATTGAATGTTCCTGAGTGGCCTAGTTACAGTTTTGACTTAAATCAGCTTGAAAATCTATGGCAAGACTTGAAAATGGCTGTCTAGCAATGATCAACAACCAACTTGACAGAGCCTGAAGAATTTTATAAAGAATAATGTGCAAACATTGTACAATCCAGGTGTGCAAAGCTCTTTGAGACATACCCAGAAAGACCCACAGGTGTAATCGCTGCCAAAGGTGACTCTAACATCTATTGACTCAGGGGTGTGAATACTTATGTAAATAAGATATTTCTAAAAACCTGTTTTAACTTTGTCAAAATCCTGACAAAAAAAAAAATATATATATATATAAACGAAAAATATATATATTATAACATCGTTTTCTCAAAATCATTGTAATGTGGTTAACCTTAAAAATCTAAATGAAAATTATTCAAATCTAAAAGATATCCTGTAGCTCAGTTGGTAGAGCATGGTGCTTGCAACGCCAGGGTTGTGGGTTCGATTCCCACGGGGGGCCAGTATGAAAAATGTATGCATTCACTAACTGTAAGTCTGCTAAATGACAAAAAATTTTAAAAAAATGTAAAATAAAATTAAACCAGAGAGCGCACTTAAAAAGGCAGCACTTGAATCATTTCCTGGTGATGGCTAGGCCTGCTACACTATGAAACCACACACTATTGCAGAGACTTTGATAATACAGGCTGCAATTGATATGTTGAAAACAATGTGTGGGGAGGCAGAGGCACAGAAACTCACATCAATACCTTTGTCAGATAACACTGTTAAGTGAAGAATTTATGCTATTGCTAGCAATCAAGAGAACTGACTGAACGACTCAAAAACTCCCCAGTTTATGCTCTCCAAATGGACATTAGCTGTGAGGGCCTAGATGCCCATGCATTGACTTTTGTTCACACTACATGGCGGGGGATGCTATTTACGAGGACATATTGTTCTGTCTCACGATTCCCGAGCATGAAACGGCATAAGGGATGTTCAGTCTGCTGCGTGGCTATATTGACGAAAAACAGATTCCATACGGGATCGAATGGTGGGCTTTTGCGCAGATGGGGCTCCATCTATGGCGGGACGGCGGGCAGGCCTCTGCACTCTAGTTATGAATGTGTCTCCCTCTGTCATATGGACGCATTTTATGATACACCGAGCGCAACTGGCAGCAAAAGACCTGAGCACAGAACTCGGAGATGTACTGCAGCAGGTAACTTCGATTGTAAACTACATCAAACCACATCCACTGCACGCATGCCTGTTTGCAAAACTATGTGGAGATATGGGATCAGAGCATGACAATGTTCCATTTCACACCGAGGCTTGGTTGTTATCGAGGGGGAGTGTTGTAAAGATTTTTCGTATTGAGAGAGGAACTGTTGTCATTCACAATGGATGTAAATGTGCCTTGGCATAGATTCTACAAGTGTCTGGAACTTCCTATGTGGAAGCACCCCATGCTTTCAATATACTTTGTATCCCTCATTTACTCAAGTGTTTCTTTTATTTTGGCCTGTAGAATGGACAGAGACTTATCGCTCGAGTCGCAACAAAATGGAATATACAATTTCATGACACAATTTCATGTGTACAACATCTAAAGACCTGCATCCCTAGACTGAGAGCTTTGCCGTTTCTACATTTTACATTTACATTTTAGTCATTTAAAAGGACATATTTGGGTGTTTCTGGAACCTTTGTTCATGTTTTTTCAGGGCCCCCCATACTAGAGAAAGGGGGATACCTAGCCAGTACAACTGAATGCATTTAACCCAACCCCTCTGAATCAGTGAGGTGCGGGGGGCTGCCTTAATCCATCGGCGCCCGGGGATGCGGAAGTAATTTGGTGTCTGGTATAAGTTTCTCTAAAACATGTGAAATCACAAATCACAAAAAAGTTATCTGGACCCTTCTATAACAAAAATAGAGATTTGGTTGAAAAAAGAACTTCTCCTTTAGTATTCTGTTGTAGAGAATAAATGTAGAGAATAAATGTAGGCTACTATGCCTATGGAGGGGATAAGTGAGACATCTGTCCATTATATTATAATAAAGTACTTCCATGCACTCTACAGCATAGCCTATACAGTAATTGTTTAATTCTCCCCTTACCTTTGTGCATCCCCGTGTATTTGTCCTTTATCACCGTCAACTCATAGATCTTCCCGAACTGTTCGAAGATGGGTTTCAAGTCCTTCTCCTCAAGATTTCGGGGTATCTGCCCGATGAAGAGCTTGATTGCATCGGCCTCCTTCATTGAGACGGTGTGGGATGGGAGCAACCCGCTGCGCACCGAGGATGGACACTGGAAAGGTGGTGAGAGGGAGCAGGAAGAACCTATAGATCTTTGAACGAGTTGGAGATGACGGGTAAACGTTACAACTCAGTCCTGTAGACGAGGAGAGAAAGAGGGAAGGTGTTTAGAAAACAATGATAGAGGAAAAGATGAGAAGAAGAGATGTAGACTAAATAAATTATTAATTCATTCTTAAAATGTATAATAACTTTCATTTTCTTTACATTTTTTGAAGAGCAGGAGCTATCTGGTGTAGGCTGACTAACAAAAACTTCACAGTCACAAGTTGGTATAGTCATGCAAAAATCTAGGAATGTTGAAATTATAATGAATTGAAATGATTTAGCCTATCATTGTTTGTATTTCTTTTTTTGGGGGGGGGGGGGGGGGTGAAATTGATGAGTTGATTTTAACCAATTAGGTTCTGACTCAAATTTCTATTTATCTATATACAATCTCTCTCTCTCTCTCTCTCGTATATATATATATATATATATATATGTATATATATATATATATATATATATATATATATATATACATCTTTGTTTAAATATTTGTATATGTAAATAACATTGACATCGAAGTAGCCTACTCCTTTGTTCAACCGTTATGGGTCTAAACTGCTGGTTTAAACCCATAGGCTATACTGTCACGGTGTGTCAACATATAGCCTGTTCGGTCCCTTTGTCAAGATGTGGTGACAATAACAATGACTTGAACATAATCTGTAATTTTACACCACGTCAATAGGACAACAAAATAATAACCTACTATTTCTCTATGATGCTCCTTCGTCTTAAGGTTCGTTGCTAGCTGAATCCTCCTTTCTCCTCTGTCCCCTATCAAATCGGGTTTCTTTTCGGTTTGTGTCTATTCTCCAGTTCAATTCATTTGTCTAATGTAGGACCCTTCTGAATCCGTGCCTTGACATATTACCACCAAAAGAGCGCACGTAACAAATCCGAGCGACGTCCTTCTTTATCCATAAACATGAGCGTGTGATGCTTTACCTAGTAATTTTTATTTATTTGTGTACAAACCCTGTTTCCCACTTTAAATACACACAAATTAGGATTTTATATAAAAATGACAACCTCTCTGGGATTATTCAAGCGGTTGGTGGTTATAAAGACAGGCTCCCTATGATCCAACACAGGAAATGGTAGGCTATTCCTGCCGCTCGCTCCCGCGTTGGCTTGCTCTCTGTCTGTCTACTTCGTTGCCTTTCACGTCGTAAACCGGTGTCTCCCTCCGGTCGATCTATTGCTGCCAAGGGGCCAGGGTTCCCGCCTGGAAGCGCGCTTTTGACTGCACATACAGTATTGCTTCGGTACTGCAGTTTAACTGAATTTCGGCCGTTTAAAACAATTCCCATTGATCGCCCCATAGAGAAGTAGAGAGATATCTTCCCGACACAAATCTAGGGTTGCTACCCAAGCCGGCTGGCTGTTCGTTCGTTCTATCGGTTCGGTTGCCAGAGACGCAACCCAGTCATTAAGCATTTTTGTTCGTAAATTCACTCTGGAGTGTTAGAGAGTGCTCAGGGTGAGCTCTGGGCGTTTGTAAATTCAGACCGTTATCAGATTGTCCCTTCATACATTCAGAGCATTTCGCTCTAGGAGCGTTCAGAGTTTACACTGGACGTAGGGTTGATCCGAGCGTTCTGACCTCAACCGCAGTCAAGCACCCAAGCTAACTGGCTAAAGTTGGCTAGCTTGCTAGCTACTTCAAGACACAAATGAGAGAACACCTCACTGACCATTTTACTCGCCCTAGCAGAGCTGGTTAGGCTGTGTTCATGATATCTAGAGCGTTGGTGATTAACTATGCTGCTGGCAACAATTTATTATGTTTTTTTGCCGACGTTTACTGACACCGATATGTGCAGCATGTTCGTAAATTCATAAATTAAAGGCTCTACATGGTAGCATGCTCCTAAATTCATCCAGTAAAGGCTCTAAATGGTCAATCCACAAACTGCAGTGGCCATACAGCATTTACTGCGATGCTGCCTCCACAGAAGTCAGAGGAAACATACTTTTGGGATATTGCAGAACAGAGCTGTTGTCAAGGAAGTGAGTTTGTGTTTATACAGGACCTCCCGCCCCCACCTACCTTCAACCAATCATGTCAATGCGGCGCTATACTGTAGCCCTCCACATTGTTAAAACATTTTGGAAGGCGCACGGTGATGCGGTATGGAGCTCAATTTGGCCTCTGCGTGCCTCCAGAGGCTCCGCAATTGCGTCACACCCTCCATACGGAGTCTCTGACCACATTTTCGGTTCAAGCATAAGTATGCTTTTATTCTGCCATCTGGCACACTTAGACGAGAGTGCTCTGAAATCGGAGTAGATAGCCAGAGTGGATTTATGAATGCACGCTAAATCTATGGACGCGACCCAATCGTTCGTTCTAAATGTTCCATTGCCATGATGGCTGGCAGCGTTCTTATCCCTTGCTTGCTAGCTAGCCAGCCAACTTTGACTAACACAGTCACGTCAAACAGTGCAGCCAGAATAACAGCAAATTAGCTGCATCTGCGTTTGTTTAAATTGTTTTCTAGTGATTTTTTGGGGATACATCCATAACAATGAGCTAATAATGTGCGATTTTCTCATGCATTGAACATTTGCTCTCTTGCCAGGCCACTGTTCAGAAGAGATACATTACTACACAGCTAACGCAATCAGTAGCTGTGCGTCAGTAAAATCACTGAGGAAGCCAAGCCAGAAAAAAATGCCATATTACAACCTACAGTGCATTCGGAAAGTATTCAGACCACTTTTTCCACATTTTGTTATGTTACAGCTGTACTCTAAATTTGATTAAATTGCTTTTTTTGACAAAGCAAAAACAGGTTTTTAGACATTTCTGCGAATGTATATATATATAAAAAAAACGTTATCACATTTACATAAGTATTCAGACCCTTTACTCAGTACTTTGTTGAAGCACCTTTGGCAGCGATTACAGCCTCGAGTCTTCTTGGGTATGACGCTACAAGCTTGGCACACCTGTATTTGGGGAGTTTCTCCCATTTTTCTCTGTTGATCCTCTCAAGCTCTGTCAGGTTAGATGGGGAGCGTCGCTGCACAGCTATTTTCAGGTCTCTCCAGAGATGTTCGATCGGCTTCAAGTGCGGGCTCTGGCTGGGCCACTCAAGGACATTCAGAGACTTGTCCAGAAGCCACTCCTGCGTTGTCTTGGCTGTGTGCTTAGGGTCGTTGTCCTGTTGGAAGGTGAACCTTCGCCCCAGTCTGAGGTCCCAAATGTATTTTTAATAAATTTGCAAACATTTCTAAAAACCTGTTTTCGCTTTGCCATTATGGGGTATTGTGTGTGGATTGATGAGGATAAAAATTTTTTAAAATCTTTTTTACAATATGGCTGTAACGTAACAAAATGTGGAAAAAGGGAAGGTGTCTGAATACTTTCCGAATGCACTGTATGTGTTGTGATAATTGCGTGATTTGCTCTATAACCTGTTAGTTCATATGCCTTGCGACCGTGATATATAGGCCTAAGGCCGAGACAATAAGAAGACACAGTGGCAGAATATATTCAACCACACCTTTGTTTCATCACAAAACCGGAGAGCAACCTCTTTCCAGTGAAGTCCACAAAGCATATTGCATGTAACAAGCAGTAACATGACCTACAGCATGGTCAAGCAAGTTAATGTTTCTGACATTTTCGAACTACTAAACAACTATTGATTTAGACCCACAGAGAGTTACTGCAAGTCACAAAGAAAACAGGAGCTGCTATTCCAGCACTATTTCAACTTCAACATTTCAACATAATCAAATCACCTATGCTTAGTATAATACAATGACTACTAAAAGATACCAAAAACAATTTAGTCCAATGTAAGCTAAATATAATGTGGCTGTCCATGGTTCTGATTTGTGTGTGTGTGTGTGTGTGTGTGCGCGCATGCATGCATGCGTTTGTGCAAGTAGAAAAAACATGTTGACTAACCCTACTTGTAGAGAAACGCCAATGCCATCCTCGGTCTATGACTCTGTCATACAGTACACACTTTTATTTTTTGTTGTCCTAGGCTACCTGGCTTGCTCGCTAGCCTAACTTCCTTTCACGGGCAACGTTAGCTAGTTAACATTAGCCTTCTAGCTACATCTAGCTACATATTGAACTTCCAACGTCTCAGTCTAGGGGCACAATGTATGAATTTATGGTTGGATCAGAATTGCTGTTGTAATCATTGGCCAGTACGTAGAATTAAGTAAAGTCACAAGTCCAAATCCCTATCTCCATCCATAGCTAATTTAGGAAAGGGACACTTTTTGCTAGCTAGCTAGCCCCCTGAGGACAACAACACAATGAGATGCAACAATTCAAGTTGTTTCTGTCAATGGCGTATTTCTCTTGATGGATTCAGATTCAGATCAACTTTATTATCCCACCAGGGGGAAATTCATTTGGTCATGTGCTTAAAAAGACGGTACATAAAACATGAAAACACAGAAACGACACAATAGAATTCATTCAAAGTGCTATAGCTACACATTTAAAGTGAAAGTGCAATATGCTGTGTAGTCGAGGGACCAACAGACTATCTATTATACTGCCTAATGGCTGTTGGAATAAAAGAGTCCCAATATCTATCTGTTTTAATTTTATTTTGAAGAAGTCTCTTTCTCCTTGTCCGGCTGCTGCTGTAACTGAATTTTGAGTGAAGGGGATGAGTACTGTCCTGTAAAATGCTTTCAAGTTTTAGGAGGATGAGTTTTGTGTACAGGTTGGTGGCTGATTCTTGATCTATACCAATTATCCTTCCCGCCGTCTTATTCAAACGCTGAAGCTTGACTTCGTCTTGCACTTGCATGTTTCAAAACACGCATATCAGACCAAAGGACAGCACACTCTGCAGGACAGATTTATATAACATTTGTAAGATATGGCGGTCAACATTAAAATGGTTCAGTTTGCTTTAAAAAAACATTCTCTGTTGCAATTTCTTTATCTTTGCAAAGGCACTG